AACAAAACCCTAAGGGACAAAACCCTAAGGGACAAAACCCTAAGACACAAAACCCTAATGGGCACAAAACCCTAAGGCACAAAACCCTAATGGGCACAAAACCCTAATAGGCACAAAATCCTAATGGGCACAAAAATTTTAGAAGAAACCTAGAGCTCTGATACCATGTAGAAACTAAGGTTTGAGAGAACCCGATAGATCTCATTCTCATTACTGAAGTCTATATATAGACAAATATACAAGGTTGACCTAATCCTATAAGGGGAAGGTAAAGGACAAATGAATACATATTATTTAAAAGAATGTAAAACATACTAATATATACTCTAACAATTTAAACCTTAAAGGTTGATATTGGGATATACATAGGACCTACAAAGAAGAAAAAGAAAACAAAACCCTTGCCTATTAGAACAAGTAAACACTTATCTATTTGAACAAGGAAACCCTAACCTATCAAAACCTAAATGCAACAGGAAATTAAAAGATGATAAATATAATTTTAACGGTAAATGATTGATTCAACCATTATTATAGTTAAATTATCCTCATTCTTTAAACTACTATGGATTGACCTAGTGGTCATTGGGCCTGCGAAAAAGTAAAAAAGCTAGAAGAGAATGAATTCAAACCATGGTGGCCACCTACCTAGAATTTAAAATTCATTGAGTTTGAGTACTAAATCTATTGCCGTATTTGAGTTCTTCTTTTCTTAATTTTCCTCTTCATTTTTAACTAAAAACAAAGCTTTCATTGAAAAAATGAAACAGAGTTCAAGGATACAAACCCCAAAAAGGGATAAAGACAAGTAAAAATGAGAATTAAAAGTTAACAAAAATGGGAGAAATAAAGATCTCCCAATTCATACACATTTCTTCTAAAGCATCATCAGATTAAAGCTTGAAAAGAATACGTCATTGGGAAGCTCCAAACCTTTAGTGTTTACATGGTATTAGAGCCCTTGGTCTTTCCTAGGCAATTAGGATTTTGTGAATCTTAGGTTTTTTGTAAACTTTGTGAGACTTAAGGGTTTGAAATTTGGAACACTTTCTTGGGAGTGTTTGCGAGCCTACTATTTCTGTCACTRCCGCCGTTGCTGCCCCTACTACTGCCCAACCGTGCGTCTCTCTATTTACGCTAGATTCACTTGTTCCACCATGGGCTTCTTTAGATTCGTTGTCGTTCGTGTGCCTCAACAGGTGGTTTTGTGGTTCTTTGTTCATTGTCCTCTACTAGTGGTTCATCAAGTGTCAGTGTCGAATCATTGTCAATCGTGTGACGTTGGCAGTCTTGATAGAGCTGGTTCATGGGGTTTCTTTCCCTTCAGAGGCTCGTTTGGGGGTTTCTTCATTTCCAGACAGAGCTGGTTCTAATTTCTTAGGAAAAGACCTAATGCTCTGATATCATGTAGAGACGAAGGTGTGAGAGAATCAGATAATTCCAATATCATTTATAGAAGAATATATATAGCCAAATATACAAAGTTGACCGAAGTAAAGAATGTAAAAGAACGATAAAAGACAATTTAATAAAGACTGTTAATTGATAAGAAAAAATAGTTATTTCTTGATTACTTCCAAAGAATTGATACAAAACTATAAATAGGAGCTACAAAGAAGAAAAGAAAAGAAACCCTTGCCTATTAGGATAAGAAAACACTTACCCATTAGAACAAGGAAACCTAACCTAAATACAATAGGAAATTAAAAGAAAATTATATAATTTAACACTCCCCCTCAAGTTGGTGAATGATTATTTTCCATTCCCAACTTGCTAACCAAATGCTCAAAGTTGTCGTTGTTCAATCCTTTAGTTAGGATATCTGCTATTTGATTATTTATTGGTACAAATAGAGTACATATGAGATCTCTATCTAACTTCTCTTTTATGAAGTGTCTATCAACCTCAACATGTTTGGTTTTATCATGTTGAACTGGATTATGTGCAATATTGATGACATATTTATGATCACAGTAAAGTTTCATAGGCATTTCCCATGGAATGTTCTAATCTTCTAAAATAATTTTTATCCACAGATGCCCAATGCCATTGCTCTAAATTCCGCTTCTGAGCTCGATCTTTGAACTACATTTTGTTTTTTACTTCTCCATGTCACTAAGTTTCCACCAAAGAAAGTACAATAGCCAGGAGTGAATTTTCTATCGTCTATCGATCCTGCATAATCTGCATCTGTATAAACTTCNCATGTCACTAAGTTTCCACCAAAGAAAGTACAATAGCCAGGAGTGAATTTTCTATCGTCTATCGATCCTGCATAATCTGCATCTGTATAAACTTCTAGATTGAGTTTTTCACCTTTCTTAAACAACAATCCTCTCCCAATGGAGTTTTTCAAATAGTKAAGTATTCAGTACACTGCTTGGAGATGAACTTCTTTTGGACTATGCATAAATTGACTTACCACTCCTACAACATTCGCAATATTTGGTCTCATATGAGAAAGATATATTAATTTTTCAACTAACCTCTAGTAAGTTTCCTTATTTATTGGAGGACTCTCTCCAGATGTACATAATCTATGGTTTTGATCAATTGGCGTTCCCATCGGTCTGCTACCAAGCTTTCTTGTTTCAGAAAGTACGTCAATCACATATTTCTGTTGTGATAGGAATATGACTGGTTTAGAATAGACAACTTCTATTCCAAGAAAATATTTCAGCTTTCTTAGTTCTTTAAATTCAAAATCTCGGATTAAACAATTTCTCAATTTATCTTGTTCGTTATTATCATTACTAGTGACAATAATATCGTCTACATAAACAATTAGTGTCGTCACTCCCCCTGTAGTAGAATGTTTTATAAACAATGTATGATCTCCCTGACTTTGTTTATAGCTCATCTACCTCATCTACCAAACCATGCCCTAGGAGATTGCTTTAATCCATACAACGCCTTTCTTAATTTACAAACTTATATCTTGCTTGCTCATACTCGGGTGGAATCTCCATATAAATTTATTCTTCAAGATCACCATGCAAAAAATCATTTTTTACATCATATTGTAACATGTTCCATCCATGATTTACAGCAAGAGATAAAAGTATTCGTACTGTGTTCATCTTGGCAACGGGCGCAAAGGTTTCAAGGTAATCAACTTCATATGTTTGAGTATATCCTTTAGCAACCAACCGTGCTTTGTACCTCTCAAGTGTTCCATCCTACAGCTTTCTTATCTTTAGGCATAGTAACCAGCTCCCACGTTCTATTTTTTCTAAAGCCTGCATTTCAAGATTCATTGCTTGCCTCCATTCTTCACGTTGTATTGCCTCCATATATGTTTTTGAAATATTTACCTGAGTAAGATTAACCATGAAACTTCTGTACTGAATTGAGAGTTTGTCATATGATAAAAAGTGAGACAATGGATACTGAATACAAGTTCGTTTTCCTTTCCTTAAAGCAATAGGCAAATCCAGGTCTGACTCATCATTAGCAAATATTGTAATGTCTGATTCATCACTTCTTCTTTTATCGTCAATTTTAGTTCTAGAGATATGTTCAAACTCTTGGATTTGGGTATCCTTTTCAATGTTCCTTCTTGAATAAACCTGTAATGGTATAGTAGTAGAAGGGTAATGGCCCTGGTGAGGTGTCTATGGGTGGTAAAGATGAGGAGGATGGACTAATGTTGGGGTAAATTTCAATAGAGTTTGGTACAGGTGATGGTAAAGGATTTAATACAGGAAATGTGAGGTTGGGAATGGACAAATTCTTATCTCGCAACAGTAGTATTTCCTCCCCCTGAAGATAAGGTGAGGTAAAAAAGCTGATGTCTTCATAAAAGGTAACATCAGTAGAGATGAAGTACCTTTTTGAAGGAGGGTGATACCATTTATATCTCTTTTGAGTGTTCGAGCATCCTACAAAAATACACTTGAGTGCTCGTGGATCAAGCTTACCTCACTGATGACTGTAAACATGAACAAAGGCTACACAACCAAATACTCGAGGAATCAAGTTATTTGTCGTTCGAAAATCAGAATAAAATTTTGATAGGATATCCATAGGAGTTCTCTGATCTAGAGTAGCAGATGGTAAATGATTGATTAAATAAGTGGCTGTTAGCACAGCTTCCCCCCAGAAGGATTTAGGAACATTTCTTTGAAAAAGAATGACACGCGTCACAGAAAGAATGTGACCAATTTTTCTTTCGGGCACTCCATTTTGTTGAGGAGTGTCCACACAAGACGACGACTCATGGATGACTCCATTTTTCTGAAAGAATGACGTTAGATTTTGATTGAAATAATCTCAAGCATTGCCAGAGTGGAATCGTTTGGGTTTGATTCTGAATTGGTTTTCTATCATATGAAAGAATGTTTAAATGGTAGAACCAACATCAGATTTTTGTTTTAAAAGAAAAACCCATGAGACTCAAGTACAGTCATCAATAAACACAATAAACCAGCGAAATTTGGAAACATTTGACACATTGGAGGGACCCTAAACATCAGTATGAATAAGAGAGAAAGGAACCGATATTCGTTTATTATTACTAGGGAAGGGTACACGCTTGTGTTTAGCAAGTTCACAAACTTCACATTGAATTGACTCTGAATTAAAAATTTTGAATAAATCGGGAAATAAAATTTTAAGAGTTCGAAATGAAGGATGTCCTAGTCTATAATGGTTCAACAAAAGCTTACTTGAAGGATGATGACTTTGTGAGGTGAAGGAGACTGGAACACTATTCTGACCAATAGGTTCATCAAGATAATAGAGTCCATTTTTTTCGTTAGCAAGTCCGATCGTCTTCCCATTGCCCTGGTCCTGTAAAATACAAGAAGAATCAAGAAAAATTAATATGCATCCTAAATCTTTGATCAAATTCTTTTGAGATCAAATTAATAGTTAGACGTGGTATATGGAGCAAATTTTTTAACATAATGTTTGAATTTATCTTGATGTCTCCTTGACCAGCCACTGTTACTAAGGTACCATCTACTGTAGAAATTTTTTTATTGCTCGGACAAAGACTATAAGAGATAAAATAACAGTTACTATTCGTCATATGTTCAGTTGCACCAGAATCAATAATCCAAGTACAATGTTTAGGTTGAGAAGTTGTACTTGTCAAAGTTACCAACCTGTACCTTCACTAGGAGCATTATCCAAAGTTTTCCAGAGGCTCTTTAATTGTTTGATCTCATGTATGTCCAACATTTTTGTAATTTTGGACGTTTGCGACATTATGCTAAAATAGACTAAACAACAACTCAAAAATGGAGATCTACGCACAAAACTGACGGTTTAAGTACCAAATAGAAGGATGAGGAAAAATCAGCACTAAACTGAACTGAACCCAACTGAAAGAGGGCTGAACTGAACCAAAACCAGTCAAACCGAACTAAAAACGGGCTGAACCAAGCCGAAAAACGCCGAACCAGATCAACAACGAATTGAACCGGGCCCAAAATAGACCGAACCGGTTGGACGGGACCAGGTTGAATGTATGTCAAACCGGGCTAAAATCTGCAGAACCGGGTCAGAAACACGCTGAACCGGACCGGAAATATACTGAATCGGAATGTAAATACTTTGAACCGGATCGAACCAGGTTGAGTCGAACAGACCAGAAAAATCAAATCAGATCGAACCGGACAAAAAAGGATTTTTTCTTATCTTATTTTTGAAGCCCTAAAAACACAGCAGCCACACGATCCACGAATCGTCCACGAACGGCAAACCCAAAAGTAGTAGGAAATTGATCGACAATGAAGGTCGATTGAAAAAGTCACCGGCAATGAAGGCCAATTGTAAAAGCCTTAAGGCTTTGATACCATGTTAATTGATAAGAAAAAATCATTATTTATTGCTTACTTTCAAAGAATTGATACAACACTATAAATAGGAGCTACAAACAAGAAAAGAAAAGAAACTCTTACCTATTAGGATAAGAAAACACTTACCCATTAGAACATGGAAACCTAACCTAAATACAACAGGAAATTAAAAGAAAATAATATAATTTAACAAAGACTATTACAATGATATAAAGCATAAGTATTCTAACAAAAATGAAATTTACCCAACACTAATTTTCATAACAATTATTTCAGCAGCTGTAGCCACAACAATCCCAAACTAAGCCTTAATAACAATGTTCTGTTCTTTTATTTTCTTGCCCTTTTCATTTTCAGGTTGGCTATCTTTCAGCTTCTATAAGATCAGTAGCTGATGCAAGAGTTGGGGACACCATTACTCACTATGTTAGAAAGGCCGAAGACTCACTACCTGGATATGAGGAAGCCACTCCAATGGTATTCTGTGGCCTTTTTCCAGTTGATGCAGACCAGTATTGATCCCCTGCTTGTTCTCATTTGTTTACTTTATTCTAAAATTTACAAAGTAATGGCCTGCTTGTTTTTGCCTAACGTAAACTTTTGTGTTTAACCTTTTCAGGTTCCCAGAATTACGTGATGCGCTTGAAAAGCTGCAACTTAATGATGCTGCATTGAAGGTTATTGAAGCATTAACTTTATTTTATATCGTTAATTGATAAGAAAAATAATTCTTACTTATTTTTAAAGAATTGGTACAAGGCTAGACTAAATAGCAATAATAGGAAAGAAAAAAAAATCCTTGCCTATTAGAATAAAGAGGCCCCTACCCATTAGAACAAGGAAACTCTAACCTATTAGAACCTAAATGCAATAGAAAAATAAAAGAAAATAATAATATAATTTTGCAGTCCCCTCAAGCTGGTGAATGAATATTCTCCATTTCCAACTTGCTAACCAAATGGTCGAAGGTGTTATAGTTCAATCCTTTCGTGAGGATATCTGCTATTTGATTATTGCTCGGCACAAATGGAGTACATATAAGACCATTGTCTAACTTCTTTTTTATGAAGTGTCTATCAACCTCAACATGCTTGTTATATCATGTTGGATCGAAATTATGTGCAATATTGATGACAGATTTATTATCACARTAAAGTTCCATAGTCTCCCCCTATGGAATCTTCAAATTATGTGCAAGTTTGCGTGTCTGAATCTTTTTTATTTATTATTATTTTTTTTAAGTTTCTGACAAGGTCAAACATGGGAAAGGGACATGGGAAGGGACACGTGGATTATTTCTTTTTGTTTCATAAACCCAAAATAACAAGCCCAATCATCCCATTAATAATTAAAAAAAAACTTAAAAATTGATTAAACAAAAACAAAAGAAACAGAAACCCTAATCCCATCGAAGCCAGTCATGACCAGCAGCAGCCACCCACGCAAAAAAACAGTAGCCACCACCTACGCAAAAACCCATCGGCCACAAGAGAAGAAGGTGCCGCTAGGCCTGCTACCGTCGTTGCCGCCACACCTTTGCCGCCACCCGCCTTTGCTGCCGCTACTGTCGCCCTTGTTGTCGCCAAGACCCGCCCCTCTGTTTTTTTCATTTGAGTTTTAAAAACTCTAATCTAACCTTTTTTTTCCTGAATTTTTTAGGATTTAGATTAAAGTAGAATATGTTACTGTTCTTCAACGTTAGGATGACATTTTCAACATAATCATCAAATTTAAATCCATCCCAAGAATCGGACTCTTCTAATAAGATGGTTCAAAACCCCTTTGGCTATAGTGACTAAGATTCAAAATTGAGTGAGGGGGTAGAAATTTTCATGGCAATGTAACTTTTGTCATGTGATCGAGAAAAACTCTTATAGAAGAGTTAGAGGCTAGAGCTCACTTGTTAAACATAAATGGTCAAGGAATTGGAGTGTACCTAAAAGATACTCCTACAACTATTGCCAATATGGACATTCTCCACAAAATCTGCTTACAGAATCTTAACTTCCACCGACCTTCTCCTGGCCCCCACACTTTTTCCTAGTATATGGCAAGGCAAGTGCCCCAAGAAAGTTAAGTTCTTTTGTTGGGAGCTCAATCACGGGACGATTAACACTCACGACAGGATACAGAGAAAGCTTCCTCATATAGCTCTCTCCCTCAATTGCTGCCATTTATGTTTCGGGGCAATAGACACAGTGTCACCTATTCATTAATTGTGCCTTTGCGTCATGCTTCTGGAATTGCCTCCTCACTACGTTTGGGTGGAGAGAAGCCCTGCACAACCAACCCTCTACTTTCCTTGACTGTATCCTAGCGGGTCACCTTTTCAAGAAGGAAAGAGCTACTCTTTGGGTTCAGTTCGTCTGGACTTTCTTTGGAGTTTATGGTTGGAGAAGAACAATAGAGTATTTAATGATAAATCCCTCACTTTTGATAACTTTTTTGATAGAGTTACTGTACTAGCTATTGATTGGTGTAAATGTTTCTACTCTGGCCCCTCCCACTGGTTTCTTATCCTTTGGCAATTCTACTATCTCCCAAGTACTGTTTTGCTTTAGAGCATTCATCTCCTCCATGATAGTTAGTTTCCAATTTGGATCTTCTAAAGCTTCATGTATATTCCTTGGAACAAACAAATTAGTTATCCTAGATGTGAAGGCCTTATGACTATTTGATAGTTTTTCATATGAAATGTAGTTCGAAATAGGATATTTGGTACAACTTCGAACGCCTTTTCTAATGGCTATGGGRACATCAAGGTCAGAGACAACAGGTGAATTATTTTGAAAATTTGAAGAAGAGGGATTACCAGACAATGTTGAAGAKGGAGGATYATCAGACAGTTCAGTTTCATTTCTCGGAGTCTCASATTGGCTTTGTGAAGGAGTAACTATTTGATCTYGGTTCCTCTGATTGAATTTCCTTCTAGTATAAAACTTTAACTCAGAACTAGGATTCGCAAAATCGTTTTGTAGTATTTCTCCCCCTGATTGGACAGTTTCTATGCTTGGCATCGAAGGACTAGTAAAATCCAAACAGGTAGGACTAGGAAGGGGAACAGAAATATCCCAAAAATTATCTTCCAAAAGAGAATTTTGGGTAAAATATGGTTGATTTTCTAAGAAAGACACATCCATACTCACAAAAAAATTTTTTGTCTGAGGATCAAAACATTTGTAACCTTTTTGACCTGAAGCATAGCCTAAGAAAACACATTTAATAGCGCAAGGGTCAAGTTTCGACCTGAAATGACTAGGTGTGTGAACGTAAGTAGTACACCCAAAAACTTTGAGAGGTAGATCAGAATATATGCGGGATGTTGGAAAAATATTTTTAAATGACTCAACGGGAGTTTTGAAATTTAAAACTTTAGTAGGCATCCTATTTATTAGGTAGGTTGTTGTGAGAACCGCTTCCCCCCATAAATATTTTGGAACATGCATAGAAAACATTATAGCACGTGCTACTTCAAGTAAATGCCTATTTTTTCTTTCAGCAATCCYATTTTGTTGAGGAGTATCCCAACAAGTAGACTGATGAACCATACCTTTTTCTTTCAAAAAATTTCCCAAAAACTCATTAAAATACTCAGTTCCATTATTAGAATGTAAAATACAAATTTTTGTTTGAAATTGAATTTCTATCATCTCATAAAAGTTTTTGAAAATGTCTTTCACCTCAGATTTTTTTGACATTAAATAAACCCAAGATAGACGAGTATGATCGTCAATGAAAGTAATAAACTATTTTTCTTCCACTATGAGTACTGATTTTAGAAGGACCCCAAAACATCACTGTGAATTAAGTAAAATGGTTTGGAAGCTTTATAAGGTTTTGGAAAATATGTGGAGCGATGATTTTTTGCTAAAAAACAACTTTCACAATTAAAAGATGAACAATCAATTCCGTTAAATAACTTTGGAAACAGATATTTTAAATAGAAAAAACTGGGATGTCCTAGTCTACGATGCCAAAGCATAATTTGTTCTCTAACAGAAAGAGAACTAATACTACTAAGACCTTGAGTTATTTTATTACTAAAGGTACCTTCATCAAAGTAGTAGAGACCATCAATCATCCTACCGCAGCCAATTTTCCTCTCCGAGTTTTGATCCTGAAAAATACAATGGGATTCAAAGAAAGTAACACGACAGTTAAAATCTTTAGAAAGTTGGTTGACAGATAAAAAGATTACATGCTAATTGTGGAACATGAAGGTGTTAGACCTCCAATTGTAAATGTCTATGCTAGGAAGGGTAAAGGGGGAATTCATCATCAAGTTAGTTATGGAGTGAAGGGGAGAACGTGTTATGGGATAAAAGTAGGAAGTTAGTGGGAGTTAGGGGTCTTGTGTATTGTGTATGCTCAGTTGAACTGTAGGGAGAGTTTCCGGCCCTCTCGAATTGGCCGTCGGTGTGTACTGTGTTGATGTTTTGGTGTTTTGTCTTTGAATTCCAAGAATTAGTAAGGAGTATCCTTACAGAAGGACAGACTGTAATGAGATAGTCTCAATCAATTTAATGGTTCCTTTGCCTGCAACAGAAGAAAAACTACCATATGCAATTCTAACTTTTTCATTGGAATATGAAGGAAGGTATGATTCAAAGAGATTAGAAGAACTTGTCATATGATCAGAAGCTCCAGAATCTATAATCCATGGAGATGAGTTACTACACGAGAAAGCCTTAGAATAAATACCTGTTTGCAATTTTAGGATTTGATGAATTTGCTCTATACTTGAGTCACCACGACTATCACCAAACATTTCTCTACCATTGTCAGTTGAGATTTGGACCATTTTAAATAAACAACTTGTCCTGGACAACTCTGCCTGAACAAAAAACTGACAACAGAATCACACCACCAGATAGTAATTAACCAAATCAAATCAGGCCACAAATTGATATTAGAAAGGAGATAACCATAACYAGGAGAGTCGAACCAAGTCAGAATAAGTTACGGCAGATGAACCAACCCGAACCGATTTGAACCAAAGCCCTGAACAATGCAATACTTAGAAAATCTCCGACGGACAGGATTGACGGTGATTACAGAGGCGGCGGTGAGATCTGCGAGCAGAAGAGGTTGACTGTGAGTAGAAGATGGCGACCGACAAGAGTGCTGGTGGATCGAACACGGCGAGGATGTGCGCCAGGCAGAGATGGGCGATCGCGAATACCAGACGAAGAGACGCGGAGGTCGACTGATGAGGGGTCACGTCGCGGTGGATCTGTGCGGATGACGGAGACCGGCGAACGACAGGTTGCGTCGCAGATGGGAGTAGCGGCAGATCTGTGCGGATGTCACCGGTGCAGATCGACGGTGAGGACGACGGATTGACGGCAATAGCTGCGTTACCGTGGGGAGTTCGTCGAAGGTAGACTTGCCGAAAGGAGGAATGGATGCCGGCCACGGTTTTGATTGACAGCTAGGGTTTTAAAATTAGGGTTTGGTATTTTTGATGATGGCTAGGGTTTTGAGAGTTAGGGTTTACTTCCTAAGCTCTGATACCATGTTAATTTGAGAGAGTAAAAAATATACTCCTTAATTCAAACGTGTAACTTAGGTCTTCTTATATAGGAGAATGACCTACTACAAACAAGGAAAGTAATAAACACCATAAAGACTGAATATCAACAATAAAGACTAAATATTGACAACTAATATTGACACCTAATATTTACACAAATATTGATAAATCCAACATAATTTGTTGAGGACAAGTCTTCAACAAAAAGAAAAGGCAAATATTGAGAGGTTATTAGTGCCAATTAAAGGTGAATGGCATTTGAAGGGGGTGAGTATTGTGAGTAATGGATGAAGCAACTCACAAGAGGCCTTTAATTAACTTTATGGCCATCTCTATTCTCTGATGGTAGACCAAACGAAAGCTCAATCTCTCTTTAAAAAAAAATAAAAAATCTGGCAACTTAAGTTTGGAAGAGGAATCAGAAAATTTTCTCCCATAGGTGGCCTAATTCCTGATTTAAATTTCTATCAACTTGTCAAGTATCATGTAAGCTTACTATCAACTACATTTAACATCCACTCAAGATAGTATAATCGAAAAATTTTAAAGGGTATGATACTAAATTCAAACTCTTTAAACAATAGTCATATTGAAAAAATCAACAAACATTTGAAACTAAATCATATATGTAGCCAAAAAATTAAATCAATCAGGTTCGATTGCTTAATAATTTTATTTTATCGGATTTAAGGATAATTTTGTATCCTATCGGAGGAAGTTGAAACACCCTTTGGCAGAATTTGTGTTCCATGTGACTTGAACCCAAGACCTCAAGGATATTCCTCGAGGCCCCGAGCTATCCTTTGGAGACAATTTTGTATCCTATCACAACCTACTTTTCATGATAAAATTAGAGAAAATATGTACAACTTGGAAAACATTTACACACTAGGACTAGTTAGTTCAGATGCCAACATAAGAGGCTGATAGTTGACAATCAGTTTAGTATAGCTGTTGGTTTATTATTTTTTAATATTAGCTGTAAATATTAATGGTTATTTTATTATTATTTCCTTTTATATATTGAGCATTTCTCCTGTATAAGAAGGCTATTTATTTCTTACTTTTGATATATTGGAATACAAATATTTTACTCTATCTAAATCAACTTGGCATCAGAGCGAGGTTATCTTTAGAAACCCTAGCCGCTAAGAGCTGAACATTTAGGTATTGAGTCTTTCTCCTATATAAGAATGCCATGTATTTCTTACTTTTGACATATTGGAATACAAATATTTTATTCCCTCTAAATCAACGATAGCATTGTTTTTGTAGAATCATATTAAAGTAGATACAAATTAGTTTAAGTAGGTTGTTGATGGAGAACTAGTTTCTTCTATTTGTATTATTATTATTATTTTCCATGTCCACTTGTATGGTTATTTCTCTTTTTCGTGCACTTTCTTATAATTTTCTTTTCCCACATTATATATATTTTTGGTAAGAATCATTAGACTTTCATTAAGTAGCTGAAATGTTTCTTTACTTTTTCGCTTTTCCTAAAGATTAGTGTGCCTAAGGGTCATTTTGACAAGTAAAAGAAATTAAAGCACCGTGAGAATGGATGCATGTTAACTTTAAGAGAATAAAAATGTTATAGGAGAATTCAGGACCTATTGTAAATGAGAAATATGAGACTTATTACAAATAGGAATGCCTACTGGCTACTACAAATTAGAGTAGGAAACCTACTTCAACAAGGAAATAAATACTATCAGACGAAAAAACATAAAAAACTAATAAGTATTTATATATTTATATATATTCTAACAATGCAAACTTCATAGCAGCCGGCTACATAGTATATTAAAATAGTTATCCCATGAGATTAGTCAAGATACATAAAATGACTCAAATGTTTGTGTCCATATCATGTGATTTTTTCCTCTTTCTTTAACATCCATTTTGCTATGCTTTTCCATTACTCATCCTCAACCAATTTTAAGATGATATTTTACCGTTTTGGCACTTCAACTGCATACAGTTTGAGCCTGAAACATCAAGTGCTATGGGTTTCGGCTTCAGATGTGGTTTCCTGGGTCTTCTCCACATGGAGATCGTTCAGGTTCTTTTACCTTCTTTCTTTTCATGAAGAAACGTGTCTAATTCTTTGTCGTTACTATGTATTACCAGCACTGAAAATAAACGTCCAAAGCTAAGTTGTCTTACGAATTCCTTTGTTATACAGGAAAGACTTGAAAGGGAATACAACCTGAGCCTGATTACTACAGCTCCAAGTGTTGTATATAGAGTTAACTGTATAACCGGTGATACTGTAATTTCTCATCTATCCTTTGACTTGCTTTATTATCTTATGGTAGTTGGAAGAATGAAAATAGTTTGTACTTACTACTTGCTGCTGTGAGTCTAGAGTAATATGTGATTTAGATAGTTCTCTATGGAGCTTTCGTTTGGAAAATTTGGCTGCAAAGAAACATTAGGATATTCAACAACACCTCTCTCTCCTTCAATAGTTTCTTTGAAAATATTTTGGTCATAGCTTTTTGGTGGTAAATATTTTTATCCCCCCTTTACAAATTATCGTTACAAACTGAAAGGGCTAAACTTTTTTTTTTTTTTTAATCCAGCTCATAGGATATCTTTTGTATATTTCATACCATCAACGAAATATTGTTTTCTTATAAAAAAAAAAAAGATCTTGATGACCCAAAAAGTTCAATTAACTACCAAAAAATTTTGGTTGAGTTAAGTTCTAACTTATGAGCTTGTTTGAATTGGATTTGGTTTAAATAAGTTGCAACGCAATTGGTTGGGTTAGTTCATGAATTATAAAATCAGTACGGTTTAAATTGAATCAACCCAAATCCATTAATTAAAAAAGATAAATTTTTTGCTTATGATCTAATTACTTATACAAAGATTTATTTACGTATATGTGTTATAATAGTCCTAAATTTACACCCTTTTTTTCTGACAAAGAAAGAAAATTTTTCATTGATTAAATGGAAAATACAATAGTTTCCACTTATAAGAAGAAACAACCCATCTGGACCTAGAATACTAAAGAAAATCAAGACCAGACATAATCAAACCATCTCAAAACCAACACCCTAAAACCCACCCTACCAACTCGATCTGGAAATCTAATAAAAGAACTCCAGCAAGCACATACATCACCAGGAGAATGATAACAAAAACAGTTGGAAAAAACACAACATGAAGCTACTTCTATTTTAATTAAATCAAGCCTTTCTTCCCATGTTATGATCTTTCCTTCGAAGATCATCAAGTTCCTTTCAAACCAAATGCTCCAAATTAATTATTTTTTTGAACAAGAAACAAACTTTTCATTCATTAATGAAAAGAAACGATAAAATGTTCAAAGATACAAAGTCCCTAAAGAGTGAAAGAAAAAATAATAAGAGAACATAAGAATCAAACCACAAGAATGAATAAAGCAAAAAGAAAAAATATACTAGAAAGCGAGAAACTTATCAAAGGATGGGTGAAATGAAGAAATCCCAATTCAAACAAATGTCTTGGAAAGAGAAATCTGAATGCTCCAAATTAATTATTTAACTGAGTTAAATCCACAAAATCAAAGTTTGATCTGTAGAGCTTCTCTCTTTCAGCAAAGAGAGCAAATTATGATCTGCTTTAGAATTGGAAAGCTAGCACAACCCAAAATCCGACGACAAGGCATACCAGATTTTTCAACTATAAGGAGGATGCGAAAATGGATGATTTATATCTTTATCCTCTTTCAAGCATAGAGCACGCATACTTGGTCTTAAACACCCTCAGAAGAACTCTTTTGGAGCTTCTCCAAATGTAAACAATGAGCTTCCCCTTCAAACGAGAAAAACTTCTCTGGAAGCATTTTATTAGGGCCCTTCTCTGGCAAACTTGGAGGAAAAGGAATCAGTGCATCTTCAACGGAAAAGAACAATCTTTTAAACGGTTTTTTGATGCTATAGTTTTTTTTGGTTATATCATGGTGTAAATGCTCTCCTCTCTTTCACAACTATAGCTTTACAACTCTACTATACATCTGGAACAGCTTTCTGTAGCCCCTCTCTTGGGCCTCTTTTGTAATCCCTCCTATGGGCTACTTTGTAATTTCATAGGTCAATGAAATTGTTTCTTTTACAAGAAAAAAAAACAATGAGAATTGTGGAAGGTTGCTGAGTTCCTAGAACAAGAATAACTGTACAGTTATACTATGGTATACAACATAAGTGCTCAAAAGTAAAAGGAAGGGTTATAAAAGTTAAATGTACAAAATCTCAATACCTTCTAACACTCCCCTTCAAGTTGTGTTCCATATATTGATTAACATTAGGATATCCCAAAAATTATCTTCCAAATTCATTTTCTCCCCCCGAAGAGAATTTTGGATAAAATATGGTTGCTTTTCTAAAAGGACACATTCATACTCACAAAAAGTTTTTTTGTCTGAGGATCAAAACATTTATAACCTTTTTGACCTGAAGCATAGCCTAAGAAAATACATTTAATAGCGCAAGGGTCAAGTTTCGACTTAAAATGACTAGGTGTGTGAACGTAAGTAGTACACCCAAAAACCTTGAGAGGTAGATCAGAATATATGCGGGATGTTGGAAAAACATTTTTAAAGGACTCAATGGGAGTTTTGAAATTTAAAACTTTAGTAGGCATTCTATTTATTAGCTAGGTCGCTGTGAGAACCGCTTCCCCCCATAAATATTTTGGAACATGCATGGAAAACATTACAGCACGTGCTACTTCAAGTAAATGCCTATTTTTTCTTTCAGCAATCCCATTTTGTYGAGGAGTATCCCGACAAGTAGACTGATGAACCATACCTTTTTCTTTCAAAAAATTTCCCAAAAACTCATTAAAATACTCAGTTCCATTATCAGAATGTAAAATACAAATTTTTGATTGAAATTGAGTTTCAATCATCTCATAAAAGTTTTCGAAAATGTCTTTCACCTCAGATTTTTTTGACATTAAATAAACTCAAGACAGACGAGTATGATCGTCAATGAAAGTAATTATTAATATTCATGGGGTTCCATTTCAAAACCAATTGGCAATGAGAGGAGTAGGCCATGTCTATTATAAACCATTGTTAAGTCCCTTCTTTTATCAATGTGGGATCCTTAACATGCTCCCTCAAGATGGTGCCTCTTTTGGGTTCACCAATCTTGGATCGGATCCCATTTTGGACCGAATGCTCGTTTGAGCTTGTGGGCTCTGATACCATGTAGAGACTAAGGTTGGAGAGAATCCAATGTTCTATTCTCATTATTAAAGTCTATATATATAGACAAATATACAAGGTTGACCTAATCCTATAAGAAGAAGGTAAATGACAAATTAATATTAATATAAGAATATAAAATATACTAATATCTATACTCTAACACTCCCCCTCAAGTTGATGCATATATGTTAATCATGCCCAATTTGTTAGACAAATAATCTATTCGTGCTCCATTCAACTTGTGTTCTGTGATTTTTGATATTATTGGGATCACCTCAGAAGTCACGATTGATTTCTTCTCAGCCATAACAAACAAACGAACTTATTTGAATAAAACGACAGAACCAGACCAAACCAAATCAGATCGAACCGAACTTGAACCTGATGAACCAAACCACTTGAAACCAAACCGGTTGAACTGGACCAGTTGAACCGGATCAGGTATTTTCTAGAACCAGAAACCCTAAGTGCTACCCCACGACAACCAGAGGGGCAAAGGCGATTGGAACCCTAACCATGAAACCAATGAAAGTAATAAACTATCTTCTTCCACTATGAGTACCAATTTTAGAAGGACCCCAAACATCGCTGTGAATTAAGTAAAATGGTTTGGAAGCTTTATAAGGTTTTGGAAAATATGTGGAGCCATGATTTTTTGCTAAAATACAACTTTCACAATTAAAAGATGAACAATCAATTCCCTTGAATAACTTTGGAAACAGATATGTTAAATAGAAAAAACTGGGATGTCCTAGTCTACAATGCCAAAGCATAATTTGTTCCCTAACCAATGTTTTAAAAGGCTTTTGAGGTTTATGCCTTGAGGCCCGCCTCGAGGCAAGGCTCTAACTTTTAGCCTCAAGTCTTACGCCTCTTTGAAAACGCACTGAGGCTTAAAGTATACGCCTCGTGTAATGATTACAAGAATACTATTAATTTTTCCAATCCTTAAAAAATATCAAGGTTTTTTTTGTATGGAATCCTAAGCAGGAGTTGTAACAATTCAATCTATTACTACTTTTACTACCTAGACTTTAAAAGTATTGAAGACAACAATTTATAGAATAAGTAAGTTCTATTGGTGATATAATAGTAGTGATGTTATGATGTTTTTTTAGAATTTTTTTTGAGTGACAAGTAACAGGTGGATATTTTGATAATTTTATAGAACTATTATGTTTGGTAATACTTGACCACACAAATTTAGGATTTGTTTAATTCTTTTAATTAAAATTGAGGCTTACGCCTCATACAGCCTTGAGGCTTACGCCTCGCCTTTTCAAGAGAAAAAGCCTCGAGGCCGCCTTTAGCCTTTTAAAACATTGTCCCTAACAGAAAGAGAACTAATACTACTAAGACCCTGAGTTATTTTATTACTAAAGGTACCTTCATCAAAGTAGTAGAGACCATCAATCATCTTACCGCGGCCAATTATCCTCTCCGAGTTCTGATTCTGAAAAATACAATGGGATTCAAAGAAAGTAACACGACAGTTAGAATCTTTAGAAAGTTGGTTGACAGATAAAAGATTACAGGCTAATTGTGGAACATGGAGGACAAACTTTAACGAAAGGGTCTCAGTCAATTTAATGGTTCCTTTTCCTGCAACAGAAGAAAAACTACCATTTGCAATTCTAACTTTTTCATTGGAATATGAAGGAATGTATGATTCAAAGAGATTAGAATAACTTGTCATATGATCAGAAGCTCCAGAATCTATAATCCATGAAGATGAGTTACTACATGAGAAAGCATTAGAATAAATACCTGTTTGTGTCAAGGATACACATGAGTTATTAGAAGGTAAATTGGAGGATAGCAATTTTAGGATTTGATGAATTTGCTCTATACTTGAGTCACCACGACTATCACCAAACATTTCTCTACCATTGTCCGTTGAGATTTGGACCATTTTAAATAAACAACTTGTCCTGAATAAAAGCTGACAGCAGAACCGAACCAGATAATAATTAACCAAATCAAATCAGACCACCAATTGATATTAGAAAGGAGATAACCATAACCAAGACAGTTAAACCAAGGCAGAATAAGTTAAGCAGGATAAT